CCCCCCCCCCGGTTGACACGAAAAATTGTGGTGTTTCTTGAAGTTTCAGGTGCAACTGCAACACGGACGGTACCTTATGTTTCATTTTGTTCTCCCCACACACTCTCGAATTGCACCACAACCCTAAGGCAGTCCAGCTTCTGTCATCGAGGCAACAGTCCTCAACCGACCACGCCGACACGTCTAAACCAACCGTTACCTGCGATAATACTGTCGTTAATGCAACGTGATGATCAGTAACCCGTGCTTTGCCCACTTTCGGCCTTGGCTTGATCTAGCATGCCTCGGACCTCCCGATAGAGCGAATGCTGGTCTCCGTGCGTGACTTTGATGCTGGCCTCGGCCTCTAGTAAGAGAGGCATCGCCTTCTCAGGCTGTCGTCGCACGTACAAAAGGAGCTGCGCGGCGGTCCGTTCAGACCACCAGAGGGAGGAACAAGTTGGTATTGAAGTCAAATGTTACAAGCAGCACTTGACTGACTTTCGATCTTGGAAAGGTATGGTGCTTGTGTAGGACTTCGCAAATCTACCCACGTTTTCTGCCACGCATTTTCAGTGACTTGACACATGAGAAAAGCAACCAGAATCTCCATGCCGTACCTTGCCTGTGATGGCCAAGTTGCAACCCCAAGGTTCGAAGTACGGCATCAAGCCGGACAGGCAGGCACGGGACGCATCCATACCGTCGCTCGCATACGTTGCGGCTGCGTCGAAGTCCTTGCGACAACACAAAGCAGTCGTGTGAGGGAGAGGAGGGACAACGTTTGGCACTCAATCTCTATCGCCGAAAGTCAGGAGGCCAGGAAAAAACACGAGCCTGCACACGAAGCAGCAATCGAATGCAAACATTCAAGACAAATGGTCAACTCACCGGTAGCATCTTACAACAACCGAGTGGAAAGCAATTGCAGCGTCAAGAGCAAGGACCTCGCTAGACACGCAAGCAGCTCTATCACCACAAGTGCTGCTGCCGGTGCATCTCACCTGCAGCTCCACGCAAACGCTCGCAAGGAGACCGTAGATCTCGGAGAGCATCCAATTTGCGCGGTGCAACGAATGGGCCGCTTTTCCGAGGGCCTGCTCTAGACACCGCCTCGCCGGTAACGCCTGGCCTTCATACCCGAAAGCTTTTACTCTATTGAGTAGCTCTTGAATGTTCGCTAGTTCTGCCCGAGCCTCCTCCACTGGACGAGAACTTGCCCCACATGCATCGCATGTCAAGCGCGCAGAACCTTCCCGCTCAGTCTCAAGTCCAGCCACAACCTCAGACAAGGGAGAATGCAAGGAGCTCAGGTTTAACCCCGCCGCTTGTTGTTCTTCGCTTGGTTCCACGTTGCATTCTTCCAGTGGAAATTCGAAGCCTTGATACGATGACGGTGATGCACTTTTCTCCTGCCTGAAGCTTTTGCTGCTTTCTCCCAACGCACGGCCGCGTTTCTTCGGAGCAAGGCAGAACCCCGTACACTCACTGCCAGGACACGCAAACGCCTCCAGTCGCATATCCTCGGCACGTCCTTCTGGTGACTCACACCTTCACACACAAGAGGGCAGGTTGGACAAGGCTCGTACTCATCTATACGCTTCACAATTTGAACAACCGCATCGTACCGACCTAACACACGTTGCAAGGGATGGCGAGCTGCACCTGGCATTCACAACTTTGGAGCAATACACGACTTGAAGAATGTTTGCACCATTTCATGCCACAGAGCCAGGCGAGGGCAAACGGTAACGCCAATAAGCCACATGGGTCCATTTGCTTTTTGTGCGGGGATGCGTGCGCCTACACCTGCACTTCGAAGCTCAACCTTTCCTTGTTACAGGTATATCCACCTACGCATCAACCTGACGCTAAAACAACACACGTTCATCAGTCTGCTAGTGGAATTCTGGGTACATCAACTTTTACCTCTCGCATCGACATTCGAAAAAGTAGGTCTTCCGAAGGGACTCCCTCCGAGCGGGTCCAGGCTTCTGAATCTGCGTGATGCCAATCGTGATTTCCTCGCCTTTCCGGATGGGGCGGGTGCAGCGCAGCGACAGCGTCTTCCCGGAGAAGGACTGCGCCGCATTGGGATTGCAGGAGTGATTTGCTGCCGCCGCTTCAAGGTACAGCCCACAGCCAACCTCGCCGTTGAGTGCACTCTCCGCGATGGAAAACACCTGGCGTGAAGATGATGCCATCAATAGAGAGATTGTTGGCGAAAGCACGTGCGTGTTCGAGCGAAGCCTTCGCCTGGGCGTGATTTAGATCAGAAGGCGTTGGCCCCGACAAGGGATGGAAGCTCGTCACAATATGCATTGCAGGCGTTAGATCGCTGGAGTCCCATCGAAAACGCCCCGTAACTCTCCGAAAAAAGGGAGTTAGTGCTGTACAAATGCTAATCATGGTTTCATCCATTCCCGTAGCTCAGCATGGAAGAGTCCGGCATCGCGTGATGCTTGACATCGTAACACACGCCTCGAAGAGGAAAGCACCAGAAAATCAAACTCAGAGGAAGATGAACAAATGCCACAGACAATCTCCACAAGCTACGTTGCAGCACAGCTGTGTAAATTAAACCGAACGACCGCCAAGCTTACAGGTTCCTCACGTTGCATGATAACTTGCCCAGGACAGCGTACGCTGCGTCAACCAACCCGGGTAGGCCACGACCCTGGGACGAAGGCCAGAGCAAGGCCGACCCCTTCTTGCTATCGCCACAGCCGGCCAAGCAGAGGCGAGCCACAAAATTGGCCATAAGCATGTACTCTTCCTTCTGCTCCGGTGATCTGTCATCGTTGTGGTGCACGAGTTCGTCGACGGCCTCTCGTACGCTTGGCGCGTGACTACTGCCGTCGTCCTCGCCTCCGTTCACCGTGCCCATACTGCCGGTGTTGCCGTTGTCGGAGCGGTTGATCGCGTTCAAGATCCGCCCCGCCAGACGGAGGGTGCGCGTCGGTGTGCGCGCTGCAGGGGACAAAGGATGGGAAGCGACGCGACACGAGTTTGGCGTATTCCGGACGGGGAAAACAAAGACCAACAACAGGCGGAACACATAGGCCTCAAACACCAAAAACACTGAAACGCGCGAAATGTCAATGGACTACAAGGACCATGCGGAAATGACGGCGCGCGTTTTGTTGGCCGGCACAACGGTCGCATGGCTTTATGGACGGTCCACCTCCGCTCTCTGCACGCCTCTCGCTAGAGAACAACGCCACGAACCTGAACTGTTCGAGGCCCACGCCTTACACTCCGGACGGTGTTCCCTCCAGTCGGCCTTCTGACACTTTCGTGAGCAGTAACAGATTCTGCTACACCCGGAACATCGACTGCCTCTGCCACCGCTGTGTTGTTTGTCCATGCTCTCGAAGCATCTTGCGCAATGCGTCCGAGCTTGGCTTTCTTCGAGCACGGCACTAAGAGGCTGGACAGCCATGATCTGACGAGTTGCCATTACACCATGCACAAGTATTGTTACTGCAAGTATGCTGTGAACGACCTCGAGACACGGGTTCAAACCATCGGCAATCTCTCCTGCAAGGACATATGTATATGAAGACCGCAACAGCGGTGTTTCTGCAGGGTAGCGCAGTCTACAGTCCACCAACCACGAGCCAAACAGCCGAACGCACGCCGAGTGTTTTTTTTAAAGAGTTGCTTCAGAGATTACAATTTCAGTGTTCTTAACATAATATTTCCCCGATCAAAGAGGCGAAAGGGGCAGGGAGGAACGGGAACGTCTATCTGCAGCAAGCATGTGTACAGCTATGTACAGCAGGGCGGGCGTGGTACTGCAGGTTGCATAACATACCACGCCCGGGAAAGCTTTCAAAGCTCAAAAAATCCACAACGAAGAGGTTGCCGACACCAAATTATACGTTTTTGGAAGGTTCTGCGGGTGAAGGTCCAAACACCACCATTGTTCAGGACAGTCAGTGTTTTGCTGCAGAGTTGTGTCCAGGTTTTCAAAATAGGTCCAGAGGGCGGTGGTATCTTACGCAACATACGCTGCTGGCTTGGTGCACTCACAAGGTCACCCAGGCCAAGGTTCTTGGCTGCAATTAGACATCGACCTCGCCCCGGTCTTCGCTCTACCGCAGTGTTGGCGGGCATGGTCAAAGTAGTCGGTAGGTGTGTCATTCGCAGCGAGGATGAGGATGCGGCCTTGCGGAGAGCTGAGAGCTGAGAGAGGCACAGCCGATAGAGGAGTTGCTTGCAATTGCGGAGGCTGACTTCAAGCGGGGCAATGGCCCCACAAACCGTCACTTAAAATGCGCCGCGCAGCCGAAACTGGAGACAGATCTGGAGATGATACGCCCTTGCATGTACGCTCTTTCTCTTTCGCAAAACATTCAACGCTGCGTTCAGCCAGTCGTCCCAACTCTACAATCGTCAGCATTGGCTTCCTGAAGGACTCCGCACCATCTCAAACGATCTTCTCGCCGTGGCCATGTTCCTGTGTCGAACACCGGGAGACAGATTTCCGCACGACGAGACTCGTGGTAGGTAATAAGTGTGCGCGGTTGTGTTTACCACAGACAACCTTTGCTCAGTCTGTCCGTTGTACTTCGTAATGTTACTATTGTAGCTTACACAACGGTCCTATTGTGGACCATCAGGAGACTACTCAAGTCTGGAGACATGATTATTTGGTCGCCTACGTCCGATGTCAGTTGACCTAGATGTGAAGTACGCTCAGATTCGACGTGCCATTGCGGCGTCGGAGGAGGCTCTGTTGCCGTGGTTTGCTACCAGAACAGATCGACGCGTTCACCTGCGTCGTAGGCAGCGCCCTACATACATACAACCATGTGTGGCAAATACAGACACACAGGAGGTGGAGAAGAGAACCGCAATTTGATGTATTCGTGTTTCGGATCCATCTCCGGCGATACGCCTTGTCGCACCCCCAAAACGCCGAGAGCTCTAGACTACCTCGAACTTGCCCGAAACACATCTATAACCATAAGATGGCAGACTCATCTGTAGGTATGTGCGGGGAAATGACATGACCGATGCGGACCCGCGGCGGCGAGTATGCATTCCAGCTTTGTGGAAGGGGTACATGTCTTGCTTTGTGATCGTGTTTATATACCTTGGTAGGTCTAGTCTAGACTACTACAGCAGTAGTTCTAGAACCCTAGATACATTTTGCTGGGGCCTCACGTGGCGAGTGGGAGCCCGCTCTATGCGATCTCCTTGTGGACATAATTTGTCCGATATGTCGCAGAAAAGTCGGAGTGTTTGGTAGTCATGATTCTCGCGGTACATGTAGTTTTAAGGATTCGCCCTTGGGTCCTATGTTTATCGCAAATGTTTTCGCTCATCAAGTTGTCTACAGACTAAATGTGCATCGGGTACCCGTTTGGGGGCAGCTAGCCTGCGACCGATGAACGTGCCCGTGTCAGTTGAACCAGTGTGGGTGTTAACAAGACCCCACAGAGGTAGAAAGGGTTTGAAGTGGAGACAACAACATCAACCTCTCATGTCCTTATCCCGACGGCACAGGCCCTCTCACGAGAGGGTACGTGTGCCCTACTGCATGTCACACCCAGTAGTTTCAAGTATTCCGTTGCAGTTCCACCCCAACAACCCCAATTTCATGCCCCGGCAGCGTACCAGGTTCCTGAGGTAGACCAATACAACGAATTCAGCCCTTTCGTTGGCACTTTGCCCCCCAACGGCTCCTCTCGAAGATAGGTCCCGAGCTACGGCGAGGCTTAGACCTATTCCGGGTTATCAACCGTACCGGCCTGCAAATCCGCAGGGGCGTGGACCTCAACTCAGAGCCCAGCGGCCGCCTGTTCGCCGGAGACGTGTTCTGCGTCAACCGTTGCTCAGCAGTACCCCACCACCAGCACAACAAGAGAGGGAAAATGCGTCAGCTGCGCCTCACTCGATTACATGTGGTCCAGCCGTACACGGGCTGGGTCACTTGGTCTTCCAAGTGGGTAGAAAAGTTTCAGGGGGAAGACACAAGGCCTGGACCAATTCCTCTGAAGTCGACGCTGAGGGACAACTGCCCGGTGTCGATGGTGAAATCGTCGGACGCATGCTCCGTGCGGGGGAGGGCGTCATCGCGGTGCGACCGTTCAAAGCGTCGTGGGCCCCAGCATGAGGCACAGGGCACGCATACAGAATGTGATGTCCATTCACATCAGGAGTCACAAACTTGTACTCCAAGGACGACATGGCTGCACGCAAGGTGACCGCACGATTTCGTGTATTCGAAGCTTCATCTCGACCTTTTATGGTTGTTTCGGTGGCAATGATCATTGTCGCTAAGCGTGCTAACCACGTTCATGCAGAAGAGGGGGGTGGCACGTCACAGCCAACCGTGTGAATGGCACACATTAACAGCCCCGACGTTGCACTCAACCGACCCCGTGCCGGATACGCGTGCACACTGGTGTACCTGGGTAGGAGCATGCTCATACCCGTGTTTTTGTCTTGACTTGAAAATTCCTCCTCCGTCATCGCTACACCCGTTGCATCGATTTCATCAAACTAACAGGGATGGGGTGTGGCCGGTGGACGTCAAAAGTATCCCAGGGCCCAAGTACTTCCCCAGCGTTTCAGGGGCCAATAGAGACCATAGCAGTGCGGAACACGGGGTTGTTTTCCCCAAAGAAAGAAGGTTTCTGAGCAATGCCACCAGGTGAGAGGCTCCACGAAACCCTGGGACCACCCGCTTTTCTCGCCGTTGGGGTATTTTACACTGAGGACCAATCAACGACGTGGACGATCTCGATATTGTCTTTATGATACATACCTCGACTGGACTTGAACACCTCTTTTTTCGGAGTAACGATGCCGGCAGTTTATGGTTTCCATACATTTGCCCACCAAGTCTGCTTCACATTGTATAAACATTAACGCCTGCACCGAAACACTTTTCAAGAGTACATATTTTATCGCCGAATACCTTGGGCAAGGTTTGAAGGTTTTGTGCAAGAGCCGTTGTTCTTGTTTACGGGGGGTAAAACAAGAGAAGCTCGTTACAGCCTACATAACGCTCGCTTTTCTCTCCTTGAATCGGGAAGGCCTGACACACAGTCTGACACCCGTTTTGGTTGGTTACGTCCTCATCGCCTCCCGCTCCGTGGCGCGCTCCTCCAGATACCTTAGCAAGGGCCACGAGAGACACACACGGGGAGAATTTTCGCCTGGTCCAGCCATGTATGTCGGACACGATGAGATTTTGCCGCTGGCGCCACGACCCCCGCCTCCTGCCTCGGCTCCCGAGTCGTCCCGTTGCCGACAACACCCCCCCTCGTCTAGAAGAGCAGCGACTGGAGAACGAAGGGTCAACGGTGTCAACAAATGTTTCCTTCGCAGGCCACGGGCGGTGACAGCGGAGTCTCGTGTGGAGATTGGTGCAAGAAGAAGGTGACCCGATTGTGTGATAGTTTGTTGAGAACGGGAGCGCCAACAGTGTTGGCTGGAAAAAAGTGTACACGCCGAGCTTCGCCGACAGAAGGGTGCACAAGACCAAGCCGAGTCGCGGCGACTCGTACGACATGCCTGCCTATGCCATGCCTACCAAACTATGATTGTATATACCATATATTTTTTATCGGATTGTCTTGAGTGTCCCATACTCCAAGTACTCTAAACAATTCAAGTCCCCCCTTCCAAACGCCATGCTTCGTCACTATCGTTCCTCTAGACGCCAGCCAGTCTCCGGTACCACCGCAGCGGGCGCGGGGAGCCCATACATCGGGCTCAAGGAGCAAGAGGCAGCCGACAAGATCGTGGGGAAGGCCAACGCGGGGACCACGGGCTGCCCCGTGATACGTACACTTGTGTCCAGCAGAGGAGAACGAGAAGGCCCGGACGGATGTTTCGTGACGAGAATGGGTGCAGAGTCTCCCGGGCCAGCCAGCCACTACCCAAACGTTTCCTCCATCTCGTCTCAAGGGTGCCCGGTATTTGCCACGCCAACGGCGTTGGATACAGAGGAATGGGAAAGACGTAACAAGAATTCCAACTCCAAAGCTCTGCATCATCAGCCTGCGCGGATGTCGGCGATACCCAAGACTTCCCAAGTTCATCGAAGATGGCCCGCTTGTACGCACCTCAGGGACGAAGGTCGAATTTCGGGCAACTTGGGGCAAGACAGCCCTGGACCAGGCGCCGTCAATATTGCTGACCATGACCCTTTCCGAGCGAGTTCGTTCCTGAAAATGGATGTATGCCACCCGCCACCAGCTGCAAGTTCCGCCTCATTTCCGTTTCGCGTCCCTTTCGAACAAAAACGTGTTTCAACCAGTGTCGGAAATTAGGGAAAATTGAGCTTTGGTTGAGGAAGAACCTCGTGATGGCTTTCGTGTTTGTTCGAACACTTGCATGCTCTACGTGTTGAGTTGCGGTTTTGGGAGTAATGTCCTTGTCGGTCGATGATACTTGCCCGTGTGGTGCGTAGCGTGCCATTACCGGATCCCTTTTTTAGTAACCTTCGACATCGTTCAACATTTAAATAACAACTTTACCTCACATAATTACTCAGCAGAACAACTCCGCTTAACGAGCGTCATTAAAGACACCTTTTACGCATTCCCAATAGTGTCATCCTACCGGAATGCAGCCAAACTTCTTGCTTGCAAGGAGGTGCCAGTCCTGCGAAAGCAGAAGCAGGTCAAACGCAGTGACGACGTTTACTTCGAGCTCTCGCGTCAACCTACCATGAAGATGGTCGCGCATGCATATCTTACAGAGTAGCTTATCTGGTCCACGCCCGTCTTTGCCCATTTGTTCGCACTCCCCTCTCCCTTGGGGTCTAACCGACATGCATATTCATTGGACAGGCAAACCTCGCAGTAGCAAGCAACGAGTGGGTTTCTCCCACCCTCCCCATTGCAGTTGTCATTCGTTGTAAGGAAGAAGCGCGATGCCCTACACCCTTAGCAGGATGCAGCACTCTCCATGATGCAACTCGCCGAGTACCTCAAGGTGCTCCGCCCTTGATGTTGTGAGAGCCTGGTCCGGTGATAACCCCGCGGTGCCCCGCCCCGGCTTTGTAAGGATGCGAGGTCGATGGTCAAACGACTATGGCATGCACAACTATAAGTCCACCCCCCCCTCCCGGAGATGGAGATCTACGGTGTTTGCCATCGGGGTTGGGTTTTCGTCGCTTGGCAACGACGTTGTA